ATTGATTAGGAATTAGTGTATTATTCCATTGCTTAATGGAGTTTTGAGAGGTTCTATATCTGTACACTTTCACATGCACACCATTCATCAATTACACTCCCCTCAATTGGCTTGACTCCAAGGGTTGAAATCTCTTTGACAACATCTCTTCTCTTTGCTGGACATGGTCAGGTGGGCACTTAGTGAATGTGATCAGGTCATATGAAAGACTTGCAATTTATACTTTCCATGTGTCTTTGGGCAAGTCACCCATCCTCTTGGGCCTCAGGTCTTGTGTATATGATAACACAGGTTAAACTAGTTCTTCTCTAAAACTCTTCAGGATTAATGTTCTGGGATTCTATGCTACACATTCACATAAATATAAATGGAGAGAGAATTTTTAAAGGAAGCGATACCTAGAAAGTTAAATACTTTTCTTTAGTAATCATTATCTATTGTCAACTTCTCAGATCAATAATATTTTTCATAGATACTGACAAAAATATCCTTTGTAACTCACCATGACTGTCTGTATTCTATGAAGAGGCACTTTCAGGGGTGTGCAGAATAGTGGGCATGCTAAGCTTCCTATTAGCTGGGTGTCCAAAGCTCTAGAAGGCACTTGCCTCCTCTTTCAGTGATTTCTGTTCTCTCCTGCCAATATTTTCTCACTGCTTCCAGCTAACTTGAGGAACGGCTTTGAATTGTTTTTCTCTAGTCTCTGCTTTTTTTCTTACGTTCTTTACATACAGCAGAAGTTAAATGTGAAGAAGGGGAGCACATCTCTACACTGCTGAGAGCAAGAAATAAAATGTTCCCAATTACAGGTTTCCACTGTAATTTTCCTCTTTGAAGAATAATAAAACACTACACCCACCCTTTTGCATTCTCTTAACTTTTTGTCTCCGGTATGCAGAGAAGGTATAAATAGAAATATACATACGCTGATCTGTGAAAACTGCTCTGGTCTGTAGAAAAGGGACTGGCCTTGGAGAAAAGGAGAGTAATAAACAAAGATGTCTTCATTGTTCTTCCTCAAGCCACCTCATACATACTGACTTTCATATCTTGTCTACACACTTTATTATAAGTGACTCCACTCAGCAAAGATTTACAGAGTGCCTGGTACATGTCAGGCTCTGTGCTCGACCCAAGGACTACAGCAACCACAACACTTTATAAGTGTCTCATCTTTGCTGTGTGTCAGATGGTGTTCTAAGAGCTTTACGTGCTTTGGCTCACTCAAACCTCAAGATAACCCCACCAGGTAAGCATAATACTATTTCCTTTGTGAAGATTGAGGAGATGGAGCACAAATTAACCCAAGGCCAGATGGCTAGTAACTGGAAGAGCCAGGAGGTAAACCCAGAGAGTGGAGCTCCAGAGTCTATGCTTTTAACCTCCTCAGAATACTACAGACCCTGCCCTCTTCTTCTAGCTGGGGAGATGGCCATATGAAAAAATAATTAAGGCGCCACAGGTAAAATTTCTTCTTATAGACCAGGGTTGCGGAGAGGAGGCCACTGTAGGTAGAATAGCACATGCAATGGCCTGTAGACAGGAACCTCTACAGGGGGACCATGAAAAGCAGTAAGCGTGTGGGTGGGGTAAAGAATATTGATTGGGTGGTATGTAGTTTGTATGCGTCAACTTGACTGGGCCATGGGGTGCCTAGACACTTGGTCAAATATTATTCTGGGTGTTCCTATGAGGGTATTTCTGAATAAGATTAGCATTTGAATCGGTCGACTGAGTAAAGCAGATTGCCCTCCCTAATATGGGTGGTCCTCATCCAATCCAATGAAGACCTGAATAGATCAAAAGGGCTGACCCTCCCCTGAATAAAAGAGAATTCTGCCTGCCTGACAGCCTTCCAACTGGGAAATTTTTCCTACCTTTGGACTAGCATTGAAACATCAGCTCTTCCTGGGTCTTGAGCCTGCCAGCCTTCAGACTGGAACCACGCCATTGGCCTTCCTGGTTCTCAGGCCTTTGGACTCAGACTGGAATTACACATTGGCTCTCCTGGGCCCCCAGCTCACCAACTACGGATCCTGGGGCTTATCAGCCTCCATAACTGCGTGAGCCAATTCCTTGTAATGAATATCTCACTGTCTCTGTCTCTGTTCTCTATCTCTTTCTACATCTTCTCTTGGTTCTGTTTCTCTGGAGAACCCTGACCAATTCAGGTAAGAAGTGCTGGGAGAATGAAAATGAAAGGCAAGTTACATCCAAATAATGACAAGTGATTGAGATCATGGATGAGAAGCTAGACAAAGCTGTCTCTTGCCCTTGCAGAGAATTCCATGTTAATAAGTAGCCAAGGTAAAACTCTCAGAGTGTCAGGCATGATCAGGGCAAGTGGGGGACAATGGGGAAGGGACCTCACGAAGGCCATAAAATAGTACAGCGAGAGGCATTTGCAGTCCTTATCACAGGATGCGTCCTAGAGCCGAAGGGGCATTTACAGAGGTCCTAATCCCACCCTCTGGTTTATACAAGAGAGAGCTGGGGCCAGGGAGAGGAGGCAGCTGGTCTGGGGTGATGCCTGTGTGTGCAGCAGAAAGGGTATCACCAGCTCTCCCCGAGACACAGTCCAGAGCTCATTCCCAAGATCATGTATCCTCCCACTGACCCAGCTGGCCCTGCCCAAAACACGCCCAGGAAAGCTTTCCTATGATGTAAAGAACGAGGAAGCGTGGCCGCACACGTGCACATACACACACACACACACACACATCTTGTGGTTGCCATTTTGAGCCTAATTGTTTTAACACCAGCTGTCAGGGCTGCAAATTTCTTCTGTGGTACCAGTGACCTGCAAGATCTCGAATAACGAAGATGTGTTTAAAAATAGTCCAGATTCCTGGAATTCACCTCTCCTTATCACCCTCCCTGCTCCATCTTACTGACAGGCCTGGTAAGAACTCCACTTCAAATTTATGAGTACAAAGCCAAAAACTATGATTCAGATATATTAGGAATGGTAGAGAAAAGTGGTGGACAAGAGCAGGAGCTGATGAAGCAAAACGGGCTAGAAACCTTGGTGGAGACTCTCCCCAGCTCTGCTAGTGGGGTGCCTACTTCTTCCACTGCCCCTAGCCAGGTTCCAGTTTCCTTGGGCAGTCGAGCACCTCAGCCACTATGATCTGAACACCCCTTGTTGGCGGTGGGCCCACCAGCTCCCTGCAGCCCAGCCCAGACCCCACAGACTCTGCTCCCTCTGCCTCCCAGCAACATGGCATTGAAGGATAAACCAACTCTGCAGCCAGACAAACTTAAGGTCAAATCCTGGCACAGCTGCTAACTAGCTGTGAGACTTGACAGTCAAATTCCCAAATCTCTTGCAGTCTCAGTTTTCCAACTGTAAAACCTAGCTTTTATAATTGTTCTAAGGATAAATGTGAAGTGTAAGTTACCCTGCACTCCACGCCTGGAAGGTAACAGAAATCCTTAAATATTTGTTCCTTTACTTCCCCTTTGTATGCCCAGCTATCTTACTCTTTCAAACACACTTTGGTAACATTAAGTAAGGGAAATTTCAGTCAGAAGGAGCTACCATGTTTGTGAAGGGGTTCAATCATGGTGTTATTTATGGCACTGAGGAGCTGAAGGCAAGTTCAATATCCAACCTTGAGGAAATGGCCAAGTTAAGATTTATTTCTTCTATGAAGTCATGTGCAGGCGTTCAAATTCTATTTTACTGACATGAGAAAATGCACATAATATGATGTCAAGAGAAAAATTCAGCATGCAAATTGTATTTATAATATCCTCTCATTAATGTGAATGAAAATACTAAAATAAAATCAAGCAAAATGTTGACAGACTGGTACTGGGTAGAGGCCTTATCAGTGAAAGTTTTCTCTTCATTTGTGCTTTTCTATTCCCAGAACAAAATGTTTAAAGGAATAAACCAATGGTCGCCAGATTTTTAGTTTCAAAAGAGAAGAACAGGGCTGACAGTGTGGAGAACAAAAAGTCTCTTCCTAGACACCCAAAATAAATTAAAAGTTCTGAAAAAAGCTGTTTTCCCTATTTAACCAAGTAGTGAGGTGGCCCGAAGAGATGGAGGAAATGCGTCTTGTTCTACATCTGGTTTGATTGGTTAAGAAATGAGTTGAGAGGAAGCTTTAAAGTAACTGGCTCCCGTCCTGCTGATGGGGTAGGCATGACTGAGTGCAGAGAGAGCCCGCCAGTCACTTTGGGACAGCATGAGATGCTCAGCTCTAGGCCATAATGCAAGTCATGGGGCAGAGTCGAGAAAGCTTCTCCAAGATTTAAGACCAACTAGGACAACTCTCGTGTTGCTTATAAACAATTTAGAGGATTCAGAGAAATACGAGAGAGGAAGACGTCTGGTGTTGCACTGTTTCCATATGACTTGCCCAGACCACGGGTTTAGTTAGTAGAGATTTCCATCTGTGAAATCAACCAAAATCTCTGTCCTTGGAGGAGTTAGGAGCACCTAACCCAACACACTCATATTATAGATGAAGAAACAGACCCACGGACGTGAAGTGTTTTTTTTCCCAGAGTCATGGAACCAATTAAAGACGTATTTTGGATAAGAATCAAGCCCTCCTGACTCCTAATCCTGTCTTCTTTCCACTAATTCTGGGTTGTGAAGTCTACACTTAGAAGCTTGTGTGAGGCTCTATGGAGAAAGGGGCAAGAGCAGGGCCTTACTGCCCTGGCGCCCTATAGTGAAGAAATAAGGTCACTGCACCTAAACCCTCCACAAGGCTGAAATGGGATCCAAATGAGAAACAAGTAATAATGCATCACAGCATACTGTTTCTTCCTCACTAAGCACGTAATTGCATTTCGATATACATGTATTACATGTTTTGGAGCATCATTTGTTCTTTCCTAGAGATTCTTTCCTTTGCCTGTGTAGGAAGGTGTACCCCTCCCCCAACTTAAAACAAAGCCTAGACATATCTGAAATCAAGATCTAGGCAGAGGAAAGACGGAACAGTCACTGGATTTACAGGTAATGATTTAGCACACGGGAAATAGGAAAAAGAAGTAACATTTATTGGGCACATGCTAAGTGTTAAAGACCATACATGTATTTTCTCCTCTTACTCAAAAACAACCCTGTGAAAGATGAACCCCATTTGTGATGGGGAAACCGAAGCTCAGAGAATTAAAAAATGACATGCTCAGAGTCACCCAGTTAGGAAGTGGTCTCTTTATAACACACTACCTTGAGGCTCCCTCAAATAGAAGCTGAAGAAAACAGCTAGGAAGGGACAGGGTCTTGATTTCTCACATACTCAAACTATTATCTCATTGATGACAATACACGTTTATTCCAACTGAGCAGAAACTTGTCTGATGTGTAAAGAAAAATTCTCCTCCACCTCCTGGAGCTGATCCTCAGATGGCAATTCTGGGCCAGCCAGGCTCACTCCATCACTGCCTCTGGGTCCACGGGCCTCCACAGGGATGAGGGACTGCTGTCACTGCTGCATCTCAGGAGCTCACTAGAGTAAGGAAAGGATAGCAAAGAGAGCCCATGTATTGAAACGAAGCTGGGATGAGACAAAGAAAGAACTTCCTGTCCTGCACACCTCAGAACCTTACTGACCCTGAGTCACCACAGTGTCCCCGACTGGGCCTCTCAGAGCCAGTCACGGGCAAGCAGCACGCAGGCTCTGGATCCAGTCCCACTGATGACCCGGGAGACCTTAGGGTGTTCACATCTCTTTGCATTTCAGGCCTCCCCAGTCCATACACACTCTTTCATCGCCCCCTTGTCCCCACAGCACTCCCTTTCAATAGACCTCAGGTTTCTAATCAGAACTTTGAGATTATAAGGATAACTCTGCTTTTCTTCTCTAGTAGATGCCTTAAAAGGATAAATCCATGTCCTTATTGCACAGGTTCCAAAGAATGTAGACTCATTCCAGGTTCCTGCCAGGGAAGTACAAATCACTTCAAACCACTTCCACCTCTGTGGACTTTATTCAAGGCATGTCCCTGCCAGGAACGCTCTGCTCTCCCCTGTCCTGGGAGGGCCAGCGCAGTCCTCCACAAGGACCCTCCTCTCTGAATTCCAAAAGCCCTCTATGGCTTTCTTTGTATTGTAATTACTTGTGTCCATATATGATCTTCCCCCCTAGACTGAAATTTTCAGGGGAAGAATCACTCAGTATACAGACGTGGCAGTTTTATAACCCTTGAAGGGACCAAGCACTCAGCAGTGTTTGTCATTCTCTTCATTGCTGGTGGAGAAAGGAACTGTAAAGAATATAAATTGACCAGTACATATAGCAAGTGGAAAGGAATAAGGGTGGTAAATGTTCAGATCCCCTCCTGCCAGCCCAGCACAGGAGGGCCTCAGTAACATCCCTGACAGGTGATATACTATTGACAACCAATTGCTCTCCCCCTGACCATGGGACAGACCGGCCATGAGTTCAGTAACCTCAAGCACTGTCTTCTCCCATCCAGCCCACCACCATCATGGCCAAGACAACATCTCTGTGCTGAGCATAGCACTGGGCACTCGATGGGCCAGGAAAAGGAGACAAAGGGGAAATGGAGCACAGTCTCCATTCTCAGACTCTGGTGCCCATTCCAGCTGGGATGTAAATCCTGGAAATAATCTGGGTACAGTTACTGAGCAAGGCACCTTTGGATGGAAACCAGTGTTGCATGAGAGATTTGAACAGGAGGCCATCATGGGTGCTCCAAAGCCCAGAGAAAGGAGGTGACTGGCCCAGTTAAGGGCAGTGCTGAGGGCAGACCCCAATTTCACAGCTCTAGGTTGTGGGCTCTACACACTGTGTTGCCTCAGCTCACAAAATTCATAGCCAGGAAGGATTCAGAAGGGAGGCTCAGCTGGGACTAAACCGGTTAATTCAGGAAGGACCACCCTCCACCCCAAAGCAACTTAACCTTGAAGTAATTAATGTATTTTTTACTATATATTTGCTCTATGGCAGACACTGACAAAGCAGAGATGAAGCTGTACAGCACCTGCCTGAGGAGTGATCACATTCTATCAAAGGGACAAGTACATCATTGTCATCATTGTCATCCCCATCATCACCACCTCCATTACCACCACCATCACCACCACCATCATCACCACCTCCATCACCATCACTGCCTTCATCA